GTTCCTACTCGATGGCACCTGACAACAACAACATCAGGCTGTACTCATTTCTACAAAAGACCTCAGTCTTAGTTGTTGTTTTGTTCAAGGAACAAAATTATTTGTGTCCTAAGGAGCTGTGGTAGTGTAGTGGTTATGAATCGGGCTGTGAGCCACAAGGTCAGTAGTTCAAAACTACCAGCTGTTCCGCGGGAGAAAGATGAGGCTTTCTGCTCCCGTAAAGATTTATAGCCTCAGAAACCCTGTTGCTATGAGTCAGAACCAACTCCATGGCACATAACCAATGTATCCCAGATAACATCATCTGACTATATGGTGTCAGCAGCTCAGCGTGTTCAGATGTTAGTAGCAACCATGCTTCTTCCAGAGAATCATCAATAAATACATTATTAAAGACTTTACACTTGACATAAATAGATGGCAACTGTAAAAACACATAGAAATGTTACCCGATATCCTCTCACCACTCTTGGAAGAGCGGGGGCTCTAGAATAGTACTGAGAACCAGTCTGTTATCCCCATCTCCAAGTACGAATCTCAAAGGAACCTTGAATCCAACATGTCCCAGACTGAACTGATTTTGACCTAAAACCTTATCTAATGTCCCCTCTCCATACAGCTGCCTGAGCCAGAAATCTACAAGTCATTCTTTTTGAAACTTTTTTATTGTGAATTGAGTGAAGGTTTACAAAGCAGATCATCAGTTTTGCATTCAGTAAATCATATACTTTGTTTCAGCTCTTCATAGTTTTAGTATTTATAAAATCTTCATGAATTTTCTTTTTCTTGATTTGATGTGAGGGTGCAGTAAGTTTCTTTAAGATTACCCTGTACTTTACTAAATCTTTTCCCCCTTATAGAACAGTATCTTGAAATCTACCTGACCTCCTCACCACTTGGAACTCTGTAATTATGCTTTTCCCTTCCTTCACTTTACAGTTGTCCTGATCATACTCTGTACACCTCCACAGCGGGGCAGAATTCTGAGTAGTGTTGTCATGTATGGCAATCTCTGGTTGTTGTCTGCTCTTGTTGGTTCTCAGTTCAAAGAACTCTCTGTAGTATATTTTGAAACATAGGCTTGGCTTTTGTAAAGTTCCTTAATTTTTGTTTATCCTGAAATGTTTTCAT